CTGTTCGGTTTTACTAAACTATATCCTCTGAGCTTTTTATCGCTTCAAAAGCCATTGTAATTAGTCATACTTGAGGACTTCTATTATAGAATTTACAGCATTTAAACACATCGTCTCTTGATTCAAAGTTTTTTCCGGTGATTTGCCTTCCCCAGATGCCTATGAACTGGTGCGCCTTATGATAAATGTTCGTTTTATTTAATCTCGGGAAAATTCTTTTTATTGGTTTTACCAGAATTTCGTGAAATATAATTTGCAATTTGTCGTATACTCGTATGGACTAGTCATACTTTCAATAACTTAAGCTTTCACGGCACCTCCAAATTAAGTATTATTCGGAGAAGTTAATTATACACCTAAATAAGGTTGGGATAAATAAAATTTTTCTTTATCGAACCAAAAAGTTATGTAAAGATGACGCACATTAATTTTGACATTGATTTATTAAGGGTTCAATATAAACCCTACAAAGATGTTTAGCCTATCCAATGCCCAGAAGGAGGAGTACCTCCGTGTGGCGGCAAATGCCATCTCATGATTTTACTGCTGAAGGATGCAATTTAAACTTCGCCCGGGACATAGTCGTCAACCCTTACCAGTAAGATTGAAGGATTCTTATCAGAGGATTAGGCATATTAGGAAATGCAGTTCTTCATCATTATAAACGAAGTAGGCTGAACATAACTTATATAACTGCAGTCCAGCTTGCATAGGAAAGATCTCTTGTATATATGTGGCCCCCTAATTTCAAGGCAAAATTATATTTCTTTAAGTCTTTGTGGGTAGACTTTATTTCATCTGAGTTCAGGTGTTGCGTATAATCCATAAAAAATACTACGAGATAGTGAGGACTTTTTGGGAATCACGCCAAAAACAGACAGACAGAGGATTATGGTTGAGTTGTAAAAGAGTGGAAAAACTGAGGCGTTGCAAAAATTCATGAATAAATTGAATACTATTGGAGATTGCAATCTTGTCACTAAATAAAACCATACTAACACTGTTCCGTCAATTCTGTAGCTATTTCCATTGTTCTATGTTTGCTATACCACTCAAAACACGCTCCTCAGACCTTTTAGTATAGATCGACTTGGATTATGATATATTATACGACTGAGGAAGGTGGGCGGTTACGCTTTTGCAGTTCTTGCTCTTTATTTTCGATACGAAGGAAAAGGTTCTAGTTAATATCATAGAGACTCGGGGTCGATCTAGTCAGAAGACGGTGGCTGAGTTCCGCTGTACAGCAGCCATTGT